CTCCACATGGGGCTCTGCCTGCCCAACTGCTCCTGCCCCTTCTAAGTCAGCACCCAGGGCTGGTGCCACACGTGCCCATCCTGAGTTACGCTGCTGGGAATGGAAACCAAGGAAGCCAGGAAGCCTGGTGATCATCTGGGCAGAAGTGTGTGCGGGAGGTGCTAGAGCTGGAAGACAAGCACGTCCTGCTCCTGGCAGCCCATGGGCAGGGCTGGGTCCTGCACCTGCCAATGGAAACTCTTAGGAAACAAAATGCATGGGGAAACATGGTACATGATTCATGAGTGTCAGCTTTACTAGATGGAAAGAACGAACCAAGATATCATTTATGGGAAAGAGAATAATGGCTTCAAAGATTCAGGAACCTGTAATGGGAGACAGAGGAGGGCTCCCTCCCAGCCCCAGGGCTGCACTGTGAGGATGAGCTGCTGCAGCCGTGTCCATCACCTTAGAAACAAGACACCATCACACCCTCCCTCAGTGCTGGTCATTCGCTCCCTTGTTCCTAATGGATGCTCCCAATCATGCTGTGACTTGGCAGAGGGGAATCGGGAAGCCTGGGCTCTAATCCAAGCTGAGCTCATGTTATTGCCCCACAGACCCCTTTACACACGTGGTACCTCTGTGCCCAGCAGGCAAACGAGTCTGTCTCTGCATCTTTGCAGAAGTTCCCAGCCAGAGGTGTGATGAGAGGTCCTCCTGTCCCTGCGTTCCTGGTGGGGTCTAGCAGAGATGGATAAGACACAGATGAAAACATGATGGTTTCGAACACGTTTCCATTCAACATCAGGGCAGAATAGGAAGATCTTTCAAAATATCAAAAATAAACAGGAGAAGTGAGACTGATAGAGAGGCAAAGACATTTCCCCCCTGAAGTGGCAGCAGCCTGGGCATTTTCACAGGACAGGAGAGACGGAGGATCTCTTCGACTCTCCCTGTTTTGCTCCACGCAGCACCTGGCAGCTTGGTGATTTCCAAAGCGAGGCAGTGACCTGCCATGGCCGGTGCCCTGGTTTCTGAGATGTGCAGCCAACACAGCATAGAGACTGAGCTTTTAAATAAATTCACTTTTGACACTTCACCATTTCTCCCTGACACTTCCCAGGCCCATTACAAATTGGTATGTCCCAAGATGTAGGCCGCTGTCTGCCCTGTTCTCTACATTTTGGCTTGTGAGGCTAAACCTCCCTCAGCGAGAGGCAGCGGATGTCAGAAAGCACTGCTCCGCTCTGCAAACACCCACAGAGCAAAACCCCAGCTTCTCCATACACAGCCCAGGCTGACTGCACTTTGGAGGAACAAAGCTGCCTTCACCCACAACAGGTCCCAGAACTGACCCCAGCTTTTGTGGAAACCCCCCACTTGCCCCAGCAATAGATCAGCCAAATCCTCCTCACAGCCCTGCTCTCTAGATGTGTTTTATTTAGTTAGTCCATCCTGCCTTCTCCCACAGCAGTCACAGCCCTAGGACCCTAGACATGGCTTATACTTGGCTGGAAGGGACTCAAGGCTGAGACTTGAGAGGAATGGGGGACTCTGAGCAACTCAGACACATTGGAGGAGTAGCACAGGGCTATGCCTGGGGGGGAAGCAGTAACCTGTCCTGAGAGACCAGTCCTTGACTAAACCATGTTCCCATCATTCTTCCCCAGGGAAAACAGGGTGGACTCACAATGGGGAAAGAGAGAGAGAGAGAAAAAAACCTTCCCCTGTGGTGGCAACAGCCCAGGAACTCCCATGGGACACAGGAGACTTGGGCTGTCTGAGCGTATTCCCATCTGGAAGCAGCTGCACCTGGTTGTTCGGTGCTTGGAGGAGGGATGCACTGACCTGCTGTAGCTGGTGCGAAGATCTGGGAGGTGAGGAGCCAGCAGAGGACATAGACGGAGATCTGTACAATCGGCTTTTAGCAGCACTCTCATTCCCCACTCCCAATACATGCACCCATGAACTGAGACGTGCCTGTGTGTGGCCTCTGCCCACTGTTTGCCTTGTGATGCTGTGGTTCCCTCAGCGAGTGGCAGGGGGTGTCGCTGTCACATAGCGGTGCTGCCTCCAGCCACCCGCAGTAAAAATCCTGCCTTTTTCCACACACACCCCAGGCAGCCTCCTCTCCGCCTGAACATGGTTCCCTTCACCTATGACTGGTCCCTAGAACAGATCCCAAACCCAGGACAAAACCTTCCTCCTCCCAACACAGGACAGCTGAATCCTGCCTATTGGGATGTCCTGATGTAGCTGTAACAGCCATGGGGCCCTGGGGAAGCCATACCTGTGTGTCAGGAGCAGAGCACAGGGTTCAGGAGCCAAGCGCAGAGCGGTGCATCCCTGTGCCTGGTGCACAGCATGTGTGCAGGGCAGGAGCTCCAAGGCAGCGTGTGTGACAAGGGTGGGGTTACAATCACCCTGTCCCTGTCATAGGGGCCCAGGCCAGGAAGATACAGTGTGTGTGACAAGGGTGGGGTTACAGTCACCCTGTCCTTGTCATAGGGACCCAGGCCAGGAAGATTGATGGCCTGTCCCAGCACAAACCACAGAGGAAGCCCTCGCTGCTGCTCAGAGATGTACTGCTCCTGCACATAGAGCACAGGGCTGGGAACTGCACAGGGTGGGAGACAGCCGAAGTGTGTGGCCGGGGGATGCTGCAGAGTCTGGGCGGGATGTGATTAGAAATAGCAAAGTTGCTAAACATGAGCATGTGTCCTGGTGGTGGTCAGCAGTGAACACAGGTTTTCAGTGTGAAGAACAGGTGAGATTTTAGACCCTCAGTGGTGCCAGGTAGATTTCAGCACCCAGTGAACACCACTTTCCACAGGAATCAGTGGCTCTGGCAAGCCAAATTCCCTTAGCCCCTTTGAAAATGGAAGCTCATGAGCTAAGCAGGAAAAACGGGCAGGGCTGATGAGCCATCAGAGGATCAGTGCTTGTGAAGGGTGAGGGGATGGTGTGCCCGAATATCTGTTTTGGGGGCTGAGCTATAATCAGCCATGCTGGAAACTGTTGGTCCCTAGACTTTGAGTTGGCGCTCTCAAGGCCTCTCCTCCAGCTCCTAGCACTGCTGTGATGCTGCCTGGGATGGGAACAGGCTAGGAAAGTTGGGTCCTCCATTCAGGATGAGAATATTTTTATTCTCTTTCCTCTGTTCATCATTACACCCTCAAAGCAGCAGCAAAGCAGCAGCAATAGGAATAGCGGCATTATGGGCTGGAAGCACTCACCTTGGACACCGAGAGGAGGAACAATGTGTGATGGTGATCTAACCTTTCCTCCCCATCCCAACCCCCTCAGTGCAGGCAGTGACTCTCCCTTCTGTACCACACGTCCAGGGCTGAGCAGGAACTCTTTCTGCCTCACTCAGCTGCTGCACAGCACAGGGGAGTTGAGGTCCCCGCAGCCCAAGAGACCTGGTCACTGCTGTTTTTTTAGCAACATGCATTTCCCCAGGCCCCATTGGAGGGACCAGGATGACACAGGCCAGGAACCATTACTGGCTTCTGCAGGAGGATCATGGTACTAGGTCCCCCAAACCTTTTTCATTGACACTCCCAAGCTGGGGACACTCCTGGGGTCCCTTCAGGGTAAGGACCTTCCAAATCCCTCATCAGACCTGATAAGGCATGTACATGGTTCCCAATCCCCTTGCCCCCATGACTCATATGGAGGTACATGTCAGTGTTGGGAGATGGGTTATTTTCAGTGCCAAGGTGAGATTCCTGTAGCACATGGAGGATATGGAGACTCCCTAGAGAAATTATGGAAATCCCACCCATTAGACTCCTGCCATTGTATGCAGCAGTCTCACCTGTGCCTGGGCAGTCACTGGAGATCAAGTGTGCTTCTTCATTTCATGTTTGTGACAGCCTGTGACACTCCTTTTGGCTGTACACAGCATTAGCTCTTGGGACTTTCCATTGGCCTGTGTCATTGCCAAAATAGAATCAAAACTCATTTCAGGGCCAAGGGAAGATCATCTGGGGTTGCAGTGAGGGCAAAAGATCCCATTTCTGCTGGCAGCAGGGGAGGGAGCTGGGCTGTGGGGAGTGGAGAGAGTGCTGTCAACTGGCACATGCATGAAATAATAGAGACAGAAGGAATTCAGCTTTGTCTGTGTCTGCGGCTTCCCAGACTGTCCCAGGCTGGCACCCCCAGGATGCCCCATCCCCATGATGTAGTCCAAGTTTTTCCATTTTTCCCCGCAAATGGGAACAAAGTTCTGTGGATTTTTGCTCATCTAACCATTGTCTCTCTAAAACTTCCAAATGCCCTTTCATCAGCAGGCATCTCCTGGATCAGCTCCAACTGCACCATCTCTCTGGTGGCTTGATCCAGTTCATTTTTTCCTCTTCTGTTTCCTTCTTTCTCTCTCAAATGCAGAATTGAGTTTCTCCATGCCTCCAGGTTGAACTTTCACACAGGAAACCCTTGCTGGTGCTCTGAGATGTGCTGCTCTTGCACAAAGTGTGCACAGGGCCAGGACCTGCACTGAGTGCATGAGATCTGAAGGGAGTGGCTGGAGGATGATGTACAGACCTGGGGGAGCAGCAAGAAATGGTGAAGCGGTAACACATGAGTGTGGGAGACAAGAGCACTCTTAGATAACACTTTCCATAGGTTTTAATGGACAGTAGTAAGCAATACCCATTGCTCTATCATGGACTCAGTGAGTTTAATTCCCTCAGCCTGCCTGAAGAAAACCCAGGTCCTGAAGCCGTAGGGACTGGTGTGGATGAGAGGCTGAGATCCATAGGACTCACCCTGATCAGCATTTGTGAAGGGTGATGGTGACAGTGGGGCCTGAGTCCCTGTTTGGGAGCTGAACTGTAAATACTGGGCACATCTACACATCGCCCTATGGTGATCTAGTGATGCGTTACATCATTGTTCAGCTCACTACGGTGGCCTAGCAATCACGTGGGTCTACACGTGATCACCAGCTGTGTCGCAGTAGTGGCATGCTGCCCTGCTATAGCGCACCGCTATGGCGATGTACCTGGTGAATCTAACCATGTGCTGCCCATATGCCACAGCGCCGGGGGCTACTGCACCATCTTTTAGTACTTCCCCCAGCTAAGTACTAAAACGTAGTGCACTACTAATGTTGCCATATGACGATGTGTAGAGACGACTGCTGTGTTTGAATGTACTGGCCACAAGCCTTTGACATAACACTCTCAGGGTCTCTCCTCCAGCTCAGCGTTGCTGTGGTGCTGGCTGTGGGGGAAGTGTTTGAGAAAAGAGCCCCTCCATCTATCACATCCTCTTTTCATTGTTCACCCTCCAGAGCAACCACAGCAGCAGCATCCCCAGCATGGTGACCAGAAGCTTCCTGGGCATGAACGCTGCATTTGGAGGATGGAGGATGGTGAGGGTCTAACTGAGATACAGCTGCCTTAGGTTCAGGGAGGGACCATCTTTACCCCTGTCCAGGGCTCAGCAGCACCTCCCTTGGCCCCACTCAAATTTGCCAAACAAATGGGATCAAGGTGCCCTGGCCCAGGAGACTGGGTCACTGCTATTTGCTCTGTTACAGGCATTTCTTCATCCCTAAATGGGGAGACCAGGGTAGAGTGTGGGCCTGCCCTTACCCATAGAAACGACAGAGCCACGCATGAACCATTCCTGACACACCCCACACATTACTCAAACAGAAGGACACATGAGTGGTGGGAGATGGTTTATTTTGAGAACCACGGTGACATTCCTGTATCAGATGGAGAACATGGAGCCTCCCCGGGGTATTGGTGGAAACTCCAGACATTAGGGCTCCTGCTGTAGGGCACAAGCATATCCTGCCTTGTACACAACAGGACATATCAGTGCCTGGGCATGAGCAATCACTGGGAGATAATGGGTGTTTCTCCATCTCTGATATCCATGGGCTGGTGATGCCCACAATGGCTGTACACACCGCTTTTCCCTGGAAATTCTTGTTCACCTTATGTTTTACCAGGCTACCATAAAAGCCTATCACAGGGTCAAGAAAAGAAGAAGCATGCATGTAATGAAGATAGAAGTGTCCCCTCTCTGCTGGCTCCAGCAGATGCAATTTGGCTGTAGGGGAAAGAAATTGCTGTCAACTAGCACAGGCATGCACTGAAAGAGGCGGCAGAAGAGGTTCAGGCTTGTCTGCATTTATGTGGCTTAGCAGACAGCCAAGGTTAGCAGCTGCACTGACCCAAGATGCATTTTATGACTCAGTCTCTTTGATCAGCCACATTAACTATCTGGTGGGTCAATGAAGTTTAGTTTTCCCCTATATTTCCTTCTTCTCACAAAGACACGATCAAGTTTCTGCGCCACCTCCAGGTTTCACTTTATCACCTTGGAAATATGCACAAGCTCCACCTTCATAATTCTGAGGACTGGGGACTGAGAGCACAGACCTGGAAGGCAAGGCCACAAGGTAGTCAGGTCTATTCTGATCTCCAGTGTCAGGGCACAGAGGTAGGAGTTCTCCCTGATTTCTAGCACTCACAGCAGGGGAGGCCCAAGCCTGCAGTGTGCAGCCCATATACACCCCACCCTGTGGGCTCTGCTTCAGTCGTGCCTCCGATGGGAGAGTGGGAGCTGGGGTCTGCGCTCCACTGTGGCTGCAGTAGCTGCTGCCTACCATGAGCCCTGTCGCTCTGGCAGGTGGCAGCCCCCTCTGCAAAGGCTGGGGGGCCAGGGTGCTGCTGGTCATGAGTGAGGAGCACCAGTGGGGCCATGGGTGGAAAGTGAGGGGCATTGGCAGGGCTGGGGGGCTGTGGCTTGGGAGTGAGGGGCAATGGCATGGGCAGGGCACAGGCATATCAGGGTTGATCAGCGCCATAAAGAGGGGTGGGGGTGGCAGGGGGCAGAAATGCTGCAATGGACCCATGTCCTGGTGAGCAAAAGGGGCAGGGAGAACTCTGATGCTCCATGATAAAAAAACCTAAATCAATCGTCAAAATGTATAGGTATTTAGAATTTATTTTATTATATTGACTGAGGCACTGGTAGGTTTCCAAATTCCTTTAAAATTGTAAGTATATCAGTAAAACATTGTATTCAACTGATATCTCTCTATATATACCAGTGTTTCATTTTAATCTCAGTAAAAAATGTGGATTTTGAGTTTTTATTCGGAACATATGGCATTTTTATCACAAAATTTGTGATTTGTAAACAGAGAAAACCAGGATCCGTGGTCATGACAGTGTCCCAACCTGGCGCTTGTATACACAGCCAGTAGCCCCAGCCGGCGTGTGGGGAACTGGCATGGTGGCAGTACTAATCACCAGGGGAAATTACACCTGGGTGCAAGTGCTGCACTTTGGAGGAACAAAGCTGCCTTCGCATACAACAGGTTGCAGAACTGACCCCAAATTTTGTGGCAACTCCCCACCTCCCCAGACCCAAACCAGAACGGCTAAATCCTCTTCAAAGCCGTGCTCTCTAGATGTATCTTATTTAGTTAGTCCACCCTGCCTTCTCGTACAGCAGTCCCAGCCCTGGGACCCTACAGATAGCTTAGACGTGGCTGGAAGGGATTCAAGGCTGAGAATGGAGGAGGAATGGGGGACTGTGAGCAACTCAGACCCAGCGGAGGAGCAGTGCAGGGCTATGCCTGGGAGGTAAGCAGTCACCTGCCCTGAGATCCTGAGTCCTTGATTTAAACCATGTTTCCATCATTCTTCCCCAGGCAAAAGGGGGTGCACTCATAACAGGGAGAGAGAGAGAGAGAAAAACCTTCCCCAGTTGTGGCAACAGCCCAGGAACTCCCATGGGACACAGGATACTTGGGCTGTCTGGGCGCCAGCTGCACCTGGTGGTTCGGTGCTTGGAGGAGGGATGCACTGACCTGCTGTAGCTGGTGCGAAGATCTGGGAGGTGAGGAGCCAACAGAGGACACAGACAGAGATCTGTACAATTGGCTTTCAGCAGTGCTCTCATTCCCCACTCAATTCCCCACTCCCAAAACATGCACCCATGGACTGAGACATGTGCCTGTGTGTTTGCCTTGTGATGCTGTGGCTCCCTCAGTGAGTGGCAGGTGCTGCCTCCAGCCACCCACAGCTAAAATCCTGTCTATTCCCATGCACAACTCGGACAGCCTGTCCAGCCGTCCCAGGACAGGAAGATTGCTGGCCTCTCCCCTGTCCCAACACAAACCACACAGGGACCCATCACTCCTGCTATAAGATCTGTGGCTCCTGCACAAAGAGCACAGGGCCGGGACCTGTACTGGGTGGGTGGCAGCCGAGGGAAAGGCCCACGGAGAGCTACACGGTCTGGGTGATGGTTGCGATGAGAAATGGTGAAGTTACTAAACGTGAATGTGTGTCACACCAATGCTCAGCTGTCAATACAGCTTTTCTATAAATAAACGGCTGAGATGTCAGACCCTCGGTGGTGCCTAAAGGTCTTGTGCACCCATTGAGCACCACTTTCCATAGGAATCACTGGCTCTGGCAAGCCAAATTCCCATGAACCCTTTGAAAACCCAAGCCCAGGGATGAGCAGGTAAAAGGGGTAGGGTCTATGAGCACCAACCCTGCATTGGGAGCATGGAGAAGAGAGTCAGGGTCTGACTGGTATCCAACCACCTTCAACACAGGAGGGACCCTCCTAAATTACCCTCTGTGCA